ACAGAGAAAACTGTGTTCCACTTAAGGTCATACTGATGCCTCTGAAGAAATTACATCCAAAAACTGCTTACATGATAAGCAATGGATTTATTAGTAAGGCTGAAGATACCTTACAGGAGCTTCATAACCTTGACATAAGATGCAATGATCTGCTGGAGGACAGAGTGATGAGAAGCTTTCCACAGATACAAGAAAAGTTGAGCAGATTCAAGAAGCTCTGTCAGTATTTCAGATCTTCACTCCAGGAAACAATGGCTGAGAAACTTCCCTCCATCAGGGCAGGTGAGGAAGATAAGCAGGAATTAGTGAAAGTGTTTTATGACAGAGACAAGTCACCGTTCAGTCAGGAGAGATTAACCAAGTGGATCAAAGATGAAGAGAGAGAAGTCACCATCATCAGGTACTTTGTAGACATGATGGAGGGAACAAAGATCATCTCAGATCAGTCTGAGCTGGACAGAGAGGTGTTTAAACCAGGAGTAGAGGAAGTTCTCTGCTTTGTTTTCACCTCCCTGAAATCCACTGACCCATATCTGCAGAACATGTCTGACTACTTGGAGAAAAAGAAACTGGAAGGTACTGATGGTAACAATCCACCTACCCAGGACCAATGGTACCGCTCAGATGAAGTGATAAAGCAGATGACAGAAAAGGCCGAAGCGGTGAAAAACTGCAGCAGACTGTTTATAACAGCCATTCAAAATGACCAATACAAAGGAGGAAGTATCTACCTCTACAGGAACACAAACCTGGTCACTGATGATTTCTCAGGACCTGATGTCACTGATGTGGAAAAGGTGACGAACAGGGGAGATCTGATGTGTTGTAAGTACTAACAAAATAACACTCTTTCATCTTAAAATTATCTGAACTGTTTAAAGTGAAATTATTCCCATTGATCCATCCATCCATCTTCTTCTGCTTATCTGGGGCCGGGTCGTGGGGGCAGCAGCCCAAGCAGAGAAGCCCAGACCTCCCTCCCCCCAGTCACCTCCTCCAGCTTGTCTGGGGGAACACCAAGGCATTCACAGGCCAGCTGAGTGATATATTCTCTCCAGCGTGTCCTGGGTTTGCTCCAGGTCCTCCTCCTGGTGGGAGAACACCTCACGCATGAGGTGCCCAGGAGGCATCCTTGTCAGATGCCCAAACCGCCTCAACTGGCTCCTTTCGATGTGGGGGAGCAGCCACTCTACTGGCCACACTTCTCACCCTATCTCTAATGGAGAGGCCAGCCACCCTTCAGAGGAAGCCCATTTCTGCCGCTTGTATCCTCAATCTCATTCTTTCGGTCACTACCCACAGCTTGGGATCATAGGTGTGGATGGGGACGTAGATCGACGGGTAAATTGAGAGCTTCGCTTTTACACTCATCTCCCTCTTCACCACAACTGACCTGTACAGTGTCTGCATCACTGCAACCGCAGCAACAATGTGTCTGTCGATCTGCTGAGCTCCCTTCTCCTGTTACTCATGAACAAGACCCCGGGATACTTAAACTCCTCCACTTCGGTAAGAACTTGTCCCTGACCCAGAGTGGGCACTCCACCTTTTTCCGGCTGTGAACCAATCCAAGCTGAGCTGGAGGCCATCACCTGATGAAGCCAACAGAACCACATCATCCACGAAAAGCAGAGATGAGATCCTGAGACTACCCAAGTGAAAGCCTTCCACCACTTGGCTGCACCTAGAAATCCTGTCCATAAAAATTATGAACAGAATCTGTGAGAAAGGGCAGCCCTGGCGGAGCCCATCACCCACCAGGAACGAGTCCGACTTATTGCTATGCGGCCCAAGCTCTTGCAACAGTTGTATAAGGACTGAATGGCCCATAGCAATGGGCAAGACACCCCATACTCCCGGAGCACCCCCAACAGGACACCCAAAGGGACACAGTTGAATGCTTTCTCCAAGTCCACAAAACCCATGTAGTCTGGTTGGGCAAACTTCCATCCACCCTCAAGTATCCTTGAAAGGATAAAGAGCTGGTCCAGTGTTCCATGACCAGGATGAAAACCTCATTGTTCCTCCTGTATCTGAGGTCCGACTAGCAGAGGGACTCTCCTTTCCAGCACCCTGGCATAGACTTTCCCAGGGAGGCTGAAGATTGTGGGTCACCTGTAGTAGAATCACACCCTCTGGCTCCCTTCCCCTTTGGTGTCCACCATTGTGCTCAGAGGTTACCACCATGACAGGCACCAACCACCTTGTGTCCACAGCTCAGGGCAGCGGCTTCGATAATGGAGAAGTTGAACATGGTCCATTCGAACTAAATGTCCCCAGTCTCCCTTAGAATGCTAATGAAGCTCTGCTGGAGAAGTGCATTGAAGATCTCGCGGATTAGGGCCTCTGCTAGGCATTCCCAGCACACCCTCACTGTACGTTTGGGTGTGCCAGGCCTGCCCAGCATCCTCCCCTGCCACCAGATTAATGGATTTCAGGACAGGAACTATTAAAGCAGTGCTGTCAGTGGATCAGTCTGATTGGTTTAGGTTCCTAAACATGTTGTTGCATTTATTAACAACAGTAACTTTCTGCTAATAAAGCCTTTTGATGTTTAGGCTGAACTGTGATTCTGATCAGGTCTCAAAGGCAGCACAGTGTGAAACATAGAATCAGAGAAACATGCAGATAAAATCCATCATCACAATCAAACTCAGACAAGTTGAGGTTTGAGGACAGACATCTGGGCCCTGTTTCAGGAAGCCGGTTTGGAAAACTCAGAGTGAAAAACGACACTCA